CCGCAACAACTCAATTAGAGATTTCAAATCAGGTGAAACGGGCCAAGTGACCAATTTAATACTCCACAACGCAGGAACAAACGCTAGGTGTGACAGTGTCAATAACAAGAGTCACATGATAGTTTTGACTTTTAAGGTAAGTCAGGTATTGCCCACTTTCTCTATATTATGGGATTTTTGTAAATTAGGCAACCTTTTATTGTAATCACTATCGACCACATTACTATCACTAGAGCTTGAATAAAAATTAGTCACCATTCGTCCTTTAGGAAATTTAAGGGCTGAAAATTTAAGTTTATTTTATTAAAGTTAAACCGAATATTTAAGAAACTCCCGGAATTATTCATACACTAAGTAGGCTTAGAGACTAACAATAATTAATGAATAAAATATTTTAACACTCATTATCTCATATTCATAGCTTTTCCTTATATTCGCAAGACATCATATCAGCTATTTTCTATTTATAAGCAGAGTTTCGAGACCACATCTCATATAAGTGATTTACTAGTGGTCTCGAAACTCTGCTAATAAAAGAAAATTAAGTAATATACTCAATTTTTATAGCAAATATAACTTTTCTTCATCGACAGTCGCAACAAAGAATGCGATGAGAGAAAATCCCTGGCCTCCCTTGAAATGCACATCTTCCCTATGACCCAAGGGAACCCGTAACAATGTGGCGGAGTGGTTAACGTGCATGATGCACTCTCATGGGTCCACTCCCTAAGGGTGTATATAACAACTGTGGGAAAATTCAAAAACCAGTTCTTTATCCCCTTCAATGAAATAAGATGAATATATCTCATATCTTCTTAGTAGCAATGGGGAGACTTAAGAAATTTTAAATGCGAGTAATACAAATGATTAGCTCCACAAAGTTACTGTAGCTAATTTTAAAAACAACAAACGAAAATTTAATTTCAAATTTATAATTGTTGACTGCATTATGTGTCATGCTAAAGACGTGGTCTGTGTTTATCCTATATGTGACAAACTACTTCTCATTTTCGTAGCTATCTCTCCTAATTTTTTCTAAACAGAACACGAAAACTAAGGTTAAGAATAAAGAAAAAGTGAGGACGAAAATCCTATAAAATTAAATCATTGAATGCAAACCTCTCAGATGAAGGCGTCTGTGGTGTACCATCCTCGCGACCACCAGTGGCTGTCGTCTGGGGCCCTATACTGGCGTTGTATACTACTGAACCAGTGGTGACTAGTGACTTGCGTATTTCAGTCGTAGCCATAGATGCATTCGCAGTTCGCCGATCTGCAGAAGCCATTTCGAATCGGCCCGTGGCCGGTGATGACCCCAGTAACTGAGAGCCACCCCCCCCAATGGCAGTGCCAGATGTTCCACTGGTGGTCCATGGTATCGTGTTCATAGGAGTTGTGGTGCTTATGGTAGTTCCTAAGCGTGGCCCATCCAATCGTCGACCAAGTGATGCACCTAAGCGTGTACCGATAGAGGAGGCGGAGTGTATTCCATCTTCTCTGGTCTAAGTTAAATCAGACAAAATATTTGGAGGAATATTCAAATAGTACACGTTAGGGGGACAATATAGGCTACAACTCTGAATAATTGAGATGATAATGTGATAAGTAAGAAATTGAAGCTGGAAGCCAAGTAACCATCAAGATACATAAAAGTTATTCCCAATTTGCAATCAGCCGTGATGATCCAGTATGCAAATAAGGAATAAATAGATTTACAACAATATTACACAATTTGTATTCGTATAAAACTACAAATCACTCTTCCAATCATACCCGAGCTAATATTGTATGGAATTAGTTTTTAAAAATCGATTAAGAAGTGGAATAGAAGCAATTAATATTCAATCATACTAACGGCAAGGTCTTAAACGAATATGGCCGTCAAAATATACTGTGTTTAAATAATTCTATAAATATTGTCAGAACACATACAATTCTCCATGGAATCTAGTTTGAAATTCAAATAAGAAATTAATAAAAGTAATAGAGGATTCTGCATCGACGTAGTTGATCCCCGAAATTTTTTATTTTCGGTCATATATAAAAGGTCTTTGAAATTTTGTAATATTAATTAATTAAAGGGAACAAAATGAGGCTCAAGATTTTCTGTATCCATAAGCTTTCTAATAATGAGGCTCTTTTTAAATCTACTACTCCTTTTTTACAGAAATTCTGGTACATCCTTATTACCACAGATATAAAGTATTTTCATGTAGAGCTTCACATTTGTGCGACAAAGGTTCTATGCAAAGTGGTTAATTGTGACGAGCCAACAGAGATGAAAAGTCTCCATTGGCAAGAATGGTGAGGCCTTGAAGTGCCTGATTAGCAAAACATTAATTCTAGTTGATTGGGATTAGATTATCACTATCATTTTTCATACTTATTAAGCAGTA